ATATTTAATGCATCGTATTTTTTTGGAAATAATGCATCGTATTTAATCTCAATAATACTACAACTCTAACAACAATAATTTGGTGAAGAATATGAAAGTCAACAAGAATGATTATTGCAAAGCATTGAATGATTATTCCTTTTAATATAAAAATTAACAAGAATAAATAATTTATTTTTATAGTTCAAACGAAACTCTACTCCATGTATAAAATTATGTACCTGCGAGCTTAGTAAGAAGATATGTTCGTTACATAAAGGCGAGTTTGTTAAACAATAAATATAAGAAGAAGAAATATATGTTGGCGGGTGGGAGAGCCAAGCCCATTTTGCCGCCTCTAACTGTCAATATTTTATATCAGCATGTAGTAGATTTTTATATTTATTAACAAAAAAAGGTTCTTATAGTTGCATCTAGATTATTAATATGCTTAACAATTTTTCATGCATAAAGTAAAGGAAAACATTAAATGATGAATCATTTTCCTACATATTAAGTTCACAATTCAAATTTAAAACTTGGAATTTTAAATATGAAATATTTCTTTACTCAGTAGACATAATAATAAATACTATTAATAAGCTTAACAATTTTCTTTCCAAAAAGTAGTGGAAAACATGCATAGAAAGCTGCGCACATTCTACAAAAAATAACTTCTAGTTATTCATTCACAACATCGAAAACTGTGTTAATTAGACTCTTAAATCAAAAGAATTAAAGTTTAATTTATTCCTTATATATTAAATTAAAATTTATATTTTTGTAGTGATTAACTTTTTATAATTTGTTTTTTATTGAATGATAGATGTCATTTTTTATTTTTTATTTAAATTTAAAATTTAGATTCTTTTGTAATAATTATACATATTTTTTTAAAAATTAATTTTTTTCTCTTTTAATTTATAATTTTTATATTTTTTAGAAATTGGTTATACATATAAATTTAAAACTTTTGTTAAAAAAAATTAAAAAATACTTGAACGAATTTTTTTCCTCTTTTTGTATTGTTTTTTTAAGTTAAATTTCTAATTTATTTTCTTTTAAAGTTTAAATATGTCATTTCTTATTTTTCATTTAAATTTTATTTATCAACTATATTTCTATTTTTATATATATAAATGTTTTTTTGTTTAATCTATAATTTTATATTATTTAAATTTATTATATATATATATTTTCACTGCAAAATATTACATACTGAACTCTTTTTTCATGCAGAAAATAGTGAAAAATATTAAAATAGTCTATAAAATACTTAATGTCAAATACATTTTTAATCTGCATGAGTTGGATGTTTATTGGTCACTGAATGATCATTCATTTTAATTGAGTTATTAATAATAGTAAATAATTATTTATTGCAAGGATTTGTGGCTTTTTTCAACAATTTAAATTATTTATGTTTCTTAAAATTAAATATTACTCATTTTTTCAAATGGTTAGAAGTTAAAAAATTAGAAATTATTTTTTAAAGCTTTTATAAAATATTAAATTTACATTTTTTAGGTTTTAGTTTTTATGAAAAATTATTAAATTATTATCAGCTTCTAAAAAAAAATAATTAAAAAACAGATTTTTTAAAGTTAATTACTCAATGGGTTGGAAACATGTAATCGTAAATAGCATTGAAACATAATTTATGTTGTTGCCTTTGTCAACAATTTTTTGAAAGAAAAAAAATATTTTTAGCAATTTTATTGACATGTCGTTCTCTCTTTTAATATCCATTTTGTGTTCACACTTAAATCACTTTGAAATGTTTCGTCTTTTAGAAACTTTTTAAAATCAAAATTTAAACTTGATATAAATAGAAAAAAAGTTCAGCATTAATTGGTGGCATAATATACAACATATAACATGATAATACATAATTTATATTATAATTTAATTCAAATACAAATTGCTGGCTCTAATAATCCATATTTTAAATACTAGATTGCTCTAATATTTGAAATATTGATATTGTATATGTTTCTCAAACACATAGTTTAAATTTACTCATCATTAGAGCATACTTGTAAATATATTACACTTATCAATTTCGGTACATATATGACATAATAGTTGAAGTACATGTATGGAGGATTATTTGTTGATAAAGCCAATATTCTCCGTCGGTAAGATTCAATATGAGTTGGAGTCAACACTTGAGTTTGTCCGGATAAATAAAAAGAGTTGTGACCTAACTGATAATTATAGTTTAGTTTTTGATATGGTGATAAGCGCTTGATCAAATACTTTCTAGATAATGGCTTGGCATCAGAGCCAAAGTAACGAGTTCAATTTTTTAGGATGATATTTTGCATAAAACAATTGTTGGGGAGAGGAATTGTTGGCGAGACTAACATCCTCGTTTGGTATATGATTTTTTTTTGGATTTCTGGGAAACTGAAATTTTTAAAATTTTAAATTTTCAGATGTTATCGTAAATTTAATGTAAAAATCATATTCTCAAAAATCGAGATTCCTGGACAAATAAAAATTTCTTCTGTACCAAACACTTCCATTGGAGCAAAGTCAAGTCGATCCATGATATTTGCGCTGATATAGGTAAGTAAAAAAAATTAAGCCTATTGCTAAGTGTTCAATCCAAATATTAATTTTTGAGATTTTTATAAAAAAATATTGTAGTAAAATTTAAATAAATGCCTAATTGTTTTTTAAAATTATACAATGGAACAATCAAATCCCTAACTAAGCTGAGTTCGCTTTGGATTATTTGGGCTGATGACTGGAGGAGTCCGAACCAGTAACCCAAGCCCAACTTAGTTTACTTATATATATAATTTAAATTTGTTTATCCAAAACATTTTTCAAACTAAATGCGGGCTTATGCTTATCCATGTTTATCTCGTTTTAAATCAAATGTCAGCAGACCAAACGGGCCACACCAGTTTAGTCCGCACTTTAAATGGGCCTATAATTGTCAATCTATGGTACTTTTTTTTTTTTTACGGTTCTAACGTAACGAGTTCATTCTATTTGACCGTGGTAGTCACATACAGGTTCTATATTTTATCCTGAATACCAAAATCATTTTGAGAAAAAAATAATTTTGGGGACAAAACGATGTTGTGATGTTGATGCCTATGTATTTTGAGTGGAACTTACTAATGATATAGTTAACGAATGCATAAAAATATTAGTTAAGTAGTATTTCATAGTCTTCAGTAAATTTTTTTAATTATTAAAAAAGTAAACTTTTTTTAAATTTTTTTAATATACAAACATTTTACTTTCACCTAACTTTTTAATTTTGAGTCATTAGTTAGTGCTATACGGACATTAATTTACAATTTTTGTAAGTATAAGTATGATTGTTAAGAAAATTAATCAGGAAAATATACAATTAAGAGAAAAAAAAAAAAAGCGTAATTGAGAAGTTGTTGTGGGCACAGATAATGAATGTATAATATACGATGTACCGTCAAAAGGCCAATAAATGGCAGAAGAAAGTGGGAAAGGACACCAATCCACTTAGCAGATCATAATGATATTCAAAGGAAGAAAGAGAATATCCACGCGAAAATCATGATTGGGCGAACTACAGTTTCACCAGAAATTCAGTGCATCTCATCAATAAAAATATGACATATCAGTAAAAATTTACTTTTTTCTGTCAAATTTTTCTCTATGTGTAATGCTCTTATTGATAGGAAGTACTGAATCTAGGTGCAACAGTAACACCAAAGATTTATTCCACCGTTAGGAAAATATTTAATATAGTCCAGGACCACTGAATTTTTTGGCACTCCTTCTCACATCATTAATTTTTTCTTTCTCTTTTCCAATTTTACCCTCCTATTTACACTAAGAGACCACCTAAAAAATGATGGTCCTGATTCACAATAAATTATCTCCACCGTTAGGGTATAAATGGTTCAGTTTACGTCAGATTTTGGTGTTAATAGTTTAAATTTAAGTAAATATTTAAAGCTTATATTATACTCATCTGATTTATTATAAAAAATTAAAAAATCTAATACAACCCGTAAAATCTATAAGTTAAAAACCAAAATTTATAGATGCAAATCAAACTAAAATATAAAAGATAAAAAAATTTATTCACAAAGATCATATAAAATAATATTTTTATTAACAACACATGAAATAATATTTACGAAGATCACATAAAATTTTTATATATGTACATATAATTTTATACATATAATTTGCATTTTTTTATTAACTTAATTTAATATTATATTTTAAATTTTAAATAAATATTTATTATTTATTAAAATAACGTCAATCTTATTATTTTAAAAAATAATATTATAAATATGAATAATATATATCATAAATATATTATAATATTAAAAAAATAAAAATGTTAGCTTCAGGCCATACTTTTTAAAATGGATCTATATTTTAATTTTTAAATAATTTTTTATAAAAACTTAAATCTACTGTATTTAAAAAATAGAGCAGGTCAAAGTGTCAAACCGGCCATAAGGTAAGCTAGGCTATAGCCAAGGCCTTCTTAACCATTTAGGTGGTATTTGGTTGGGAGTTTTTCAGTAAATATTTATATTTCTCAAGTATGGCTTTTAGAAACACTATTTTTGTTTCAACGTATTTTCACCAAAAATCCATCTATCCAATTTGTATGAATTTATGATAAACATAGATATCCGCACTGTTTAGAAACCCAATTTGAAGGTTTGATTTTTCGGAAAACCGATTATTTGGCTTTTAATAGACCGTTGATTTAATAAAGTTACCTAATTTTCCAGTAAAGTTTTTCTCCACCAAACAACTTTTTTTTACATTTTTCTACCTATCTCATTTTATCTATCTTTCCAATCATTTCTCTATCTATTATATTTTTCTACTATTCTAAAAAAATTTCCTCAACCAAAGACCCCGTTAGGTTCTAATCACCGTCCAAAACCCAACCATAAGTTGGTCATTGCCACCTGGGTCGCCGAGTTGAATCACGTGCTGAACCCAACAAATAAAAGAATATTTATCATGCGCGCATATAAGAAAGACCAAAGCTGAATGTTCAATAATTGAATATGAAAAGGTGTTCTCTCCTCTTTAAGTTAAATCGGTGCTAAAAGTCTTTTAGATTCTGAAAATTGAATCGAGGAAAGGGAATAATGGCGGAGAATTCAACAGAAGGAGGCACCACCCTCTTTTCTCCTTACAAGATGGCAAACTTCAACCTCTCTCATAGGTCACACACTTGATCACTTTTCGTCGCCTTCATATCAGTGAATAGAGCTTTTTTTTTTTTACTTTACAATTTTGCCCCTCTTAGATTTGTTTATTTTGGCCTCAAAACATGAGAGATTAAGAGGGTTTTGGCGATGAATTTGCAGGGTGGTGCTGGCGCCGATGACGAGGTGCAGAGCTTTGAAGGGGATTCCACAGGCTGCGCTTGCTGAGTACTATGCTCAAAGATCAACTCCAGGTGGATTTCTCATCAGTGAAGGCACCTTGATCTCTCCCACTGCTCCTGGGTACTGTTCTGTTTTACTATTCTCTTCCCATTATTCCTCTTTTTACAGAGCTCATTTCTTTTCAATAATGATGGTCATAAATACATTCATTTCATATTTATATAATTTTTTCATCAGATAAGTTATTCTATCTACTTTTATTTTGTCTATCTTTGTCTACCTCTCTCAACACCGTTGGATTACAATCTCATCCAACAGCAGAGATTTGCAGAATAAAATAAATTAATTTTTCATTTCTTTTTTTTCATTGCCTTCCATATTTTCTCTCTCTCCTCCCTTTTCTCTTTATCGATTTGCATAATTTACGGCTTGAATTTATATTTGAATATAAACTAGTGCAATGATTAATGACAGGATAGTTTTGCTGAATGAGTATAATTTTCAAAATAACTTGAATATGATATAATTGAACACGGCATAAATCACAACAATTTGAATCTAAATCTTTGAATATGATATATTTCAAAATACACGCTTACCACAACGTTTTTACTTTGATATTGAAATTTGAAATCGAATCAATTTATCTCCTTCTTATTTTGTTTTTCAACTTGAGGTGAGAAAATGATCTCTGTTCTTTCTATATTACGCCCAACAATATATCTACGTGGTTCTATAACATAGTGCATCTTGAGTTTGTTTCTTCTTGACACCTCATTTCAATATTTTTATATTGGATGAATTTAGAAAAAAATTGCACATTTTTTTCCTCTGAAGCGTCATTGAAGAGAGAGAAAGGGGATGAGAGAGAAAGAGTGAGAGCCAGTGGGAGAGAGAAAGGAGTAAAATAATGTATTTTATATTGTAAATCTCCATCGTTAAATGAGATTGTAATCTAACGGTATTGAAAAGGATAGGCAAAGGTAGGCAACATAAGAATGAGGAAGGATATTGTGACAACTAAGTGACTACCAATCAATCTCACCGTTAGATCGATTATGTTGATCCAACGGTTATATTTATTTCCATCTTTGTATGGTCATGATTCTTCATATTTAAAGTGAAAGCATTAAATATGAGAAATCATAATCATACAAAGGTGAAATAAATATGAAGTATTAAATTTGGGGAATCATGACCATACAAAGATGGAAATAAATATAACCGTTGGATCAATATAATCGATCTAACGGTTATATTTATTTCCATCTTTGTATGGTCATGATTTTTTCAAATTTAATATTTTATATTTATTTTCACCGTTGTATGCTTATGATTTTTCATATTTAAAGTGAAAAACTTTAAATATGGGGAATCATGACCATATTTAAAGTTTTTCACTTTAAATATGAGAAATCATAAGTATACAACGGTGAAAATAAATATAAAGTATTAAATTTGAAAAATCATGATCATACAAAGATGGAAATAAATATAACCATTGGATCAACATAATCGATCTAACGGTGAGATTGATTGGTAGTAACATGGTATAATACAACTTGATTGTTACAATCCTTCTCCACTTATCAAATCGTATATGTTACATCCTTATATTTTATGATTTTTTTTAAGGCCATTTGAATCATTTCTGCAAGAGAAACCAAAATAAATAAATTCAAAAATAAAAATAGATTAATGGATATAAGAAAAGAAAACTAAATCTGAAATCGAAGCTTGAATTCTGAATGGAGACTTCTCTGATGTAAAACTATGGCTGGATTCGTTGGAAGCTTATGAGGAAGGATCCGTTTACAAATTTTCTTGACAAGTTTTTACAAATTACACTATCTTCTCCCGGGAGAATGTAGTGAAACCTAGTATTTTCTCGAGAAAAGATATTGTAGTTTGTAAAAGTTTCTAAACAAAAAAGTTTGTAAATATAACCTACCCAGAAGCTTATAGTCTCTAAATGATTTTCAAAAATAAAATCTTTCTTCTTGAGAGATTAGAGAGATTTACAATATTTATTTAATTATTTCTTTTATTAATAAAACTTTTTCATATTAATTTTTGAGTTTAAATCACAAATTAAATTTTTGTTTTAATTTATTAGATTTTTTTAATTTAAATTATAAATTAAATCTTTTTTTCTTTTTTTATATTATAAAGTATAAATTTTAAATTAATTTTAATTTCATATGATATATGTATCATATTATACGAAAATATCATATTATTCAATACAAATTCTTTTATGATACACCTCACAATCACATGAATCGTAGTGATAACTATGATTATATCTTTTATTGGAAAGATACAACTTTACGACATCCCATATTTCACTGTATATTTGTTACTTTTTTATATATTTTTTTATGAACCTCGCCGCATTGATGCGGATGAGCTCCCCGTCGACCGAGCGGAGGAGATGCTCGTCCGCCATACCCGACCAGTCCTTAAAATTAAGAGGAGAAAAAGAAGAAAGGACCGTGGAGGAAAAAAAATATAAAAAATTAACAATTATATATTAAAATATTATCATTTCACTTGATACAAAATTGTTTCATTTAAATTGAGAAACGTTTTTTCTTATTTAACTGTGACAAATCCATCTCCTTTATTTAATTTTTTATTTTTAACAGCCACACTTCAAAACATTATTTTCCTCCTTTTTTCAACGCATAAATGTTTGTACTAAATGCTTAACCTTATTGAAATTGAACGGTCAAACAAGGCGTCCTATGGTGAGAAACTTAGCACGTGGATTCCACTAGTTGTCGGTGCTGTGATCCTTAATTCCAAATAGATAAAAAAAATAAAATAATATTCATCCCTAAAAAATTTTGTATTATTTTTGTACTTTATTTGTTCAAAAAAAAACTTAAAATGTGTATTTTTTTTATTTTTTTATTTTAAAAGTGATGTAAGAATGACTAAATTTTTTAAAATACAAATATGTTGCTAAAAAGAAAGCACGCCTCGACCAATATGTACTGTGGTGGAACAGGGACTCAGTACTAATTAATATGTAAGTGATGGTTTAATGCAGGTTTCCACATGTACCTGGAATATATTCCGAAGAACAAGTGGATGCATGGAGAAATGTAGTGGATGCTGTGCATGCCAAAGGCAGCTTTATTTTTTGTCAACTGTGGCATGTTGGTCGTGCATCTCATCCTGGTAATGAATGGCCCCTTATCCCACCAACCAATTCAATTTTGATCATGAATTCTATTCTTAATTTTACAAAAAATTATATGGATCATAATTCCATCCTTAAAATTTAACTGCATGTAAAACTCTTGAGTAGTAATTTGGCAGATATTGTATTTACATATATCAGTTGTTTGTTATGCCTTTAGTTATTTATTCATTGAACACTTCATTGACTGCTTAATTTGTGAAACAGTGTATCAACCTGGTGGGGCTGCTCCCATTTCTTCCACTAGCAAACCCATATCAGCTAGGTGGAGAATTCTCTTGCCCGATGGGTCCTATGGCGCATACCCAGAGCCTCGAGCACTTGCCGCTTCTGAGATACCAGAAATAGTGCAGCATTATCGGCAATCAGCAATTAATGCAATTCGAGCAGGTTAGTCTTTTTTCACTTTAGTTTTAGTTTTTTTTTTGGTACATAGTATTAGTATTTTTTGTAGTTTTAGTTTTAGTTCGTTATGATATAAACGAGTATAAGACCTGCTTCCCTCAACTGGTATAATTTATTGTAATTCTTAACATATTAAAAGCAAGAAACAATGATAACTATGATATGCTGTCGTTCTAATGTTATTTGCGTCTCAGTTTTAAGGGTTCCATAACAAATTCCAACTTCCAAGCAAAAAAACCTGAAGTTGGTCCAATGATGCATCTTAGTATTGTGTTCTAGACACAAAATGTCTCATATTGCTGTAATGAGCTTCGAAATGAAGAGAAGTAACTGCGTCATAGTTAAATACTACAAGATTACTCACTTAATACTTATATTTCAGAAAAATTGAGGTGTTGATTAGTTCTTGTGACACTTCTTGTTACACTGGAGTAGTAAAGTTTGTGTCAGAAACCAACTCTCCCAAAAACTTAAGTTATGAGGTGATGGAAGAAACATGAATGATTATATATTACATCTCTAATATGCCTCTTCACTCCAAGAGATCTTAAGGATTGTAGTTTGGACGATGCACATGCCTATCCCACCAAGAGCCCTTTTAAGGTTGAAGACAAAGACCCATTTAACTTGTGCCGAAATTTAATTTTTATTAGAATAGGACGTTATGGAGATTAATTATTCTGTCTTTTAGATTACTGCTTGTGGGTTTGTTGAATGGAATTCAATCCAAACCTGTGCTTAACGTTAGTTTTCAAAACAAAAGACAAAAACTTTACCGTCATTCTGTTATCATTAGGCTGTTATTATCACACTGATCAAAGCATATATGTGATGAAATGTGACATACAGGTTTTGATGGAATCGAGATTCATGGGGCACACGGCTATCTCATTGATCAATTCTTAAAGGATGGGATCAATGATCGAACAGATGAATATGGTGGATCACTTGCAAATCGATGCAGGTTCTTAATTCAGGTGGTTCAAGCTGTTGTTTCTGCTATTGGAGCAGAAAGAGTGGCCGTGAGAATTTCACCAGCAATTGATCACCTTGATGCCGTTGACTCTGACCCACTTGGGCTAGGCTTAGCTGTGGTTGAGAGGCTCAACAATCTCCAGAAAGAGCTGGGCAGAAAACTCACATATCTTCATGTTACTCAACCTCGATACACTGCTTATGGCCAAACCGAGTCAGGCAGACCTGGCAGTGAGGAAGAGGAAGCTCATATGATGCGGAGCTTGAGAAAAGCTTATGAGGGAACATTGATGTGCAGTGGTGGATTCACTAGGGAGTTAGGAATGGAAGCTGTAGGTCAAGGAGATGCTGACCTGGTATCATATGGTCGTCTTTTCATCTCCAATCCAGACTTAGTCTTAAGGTTCAAGCTTAATGCAGATCTAACTAGGTATAACAGGAAGACATTTTACACACAGGATCCTGTTATAGGCTACACGGATTACCCTTTCCTGAGCAAAGGAAGTGGGACTAAGGAGCCAAGGGCACGTCTTTGATTGTATTGTTTTTTGTGTTTTTGAATTTTGATACTGTCATATGTATAATTGGAGTCTCCAAATCTTAAGTGAGTGCCTTAATTATGAATACTTGCCTTGCCTGGTATACTTTACCAAAAAATAATTCCTGATACTTTTCCTCTAGGCTGCTGCTCTGTACTTGATTGTGAATTACTTTGTCAATTTCCATAATAATTCTAATCCATTATCTTTCAACTATCTTTTTATTTTTTTCCATGTTGGGACTGCTGATAACCAATGAACCATCAGGAAAATATTAGTAGTTTATTTCTCTCAGTAAAGTCGACGCAGATTATCCAAATTACTTTACACGTTCAGGTTCTTTGGCAGCTTCGGCTAAAACAGTAATGATTAAAAAAATAAATAAAAACATTTGTTGGCTTAAAAACATCAACGCTTTACTACTTAAATTGAGTCACGAAGACTCGTGAAAACAAAATAGAATTATTTGAAAAATATTAGGATAGAAACATAAGGGAACAAAAGAAATATATCGTGAGCCAGTTTCATTTTCCATTGCATCGACACTGGATACGACACGCCGATATATTAATTCTAAAAAATATTAAATTTTGATACATTAGAACATATTTTGATATTAAACAATATTTTTAATATATATAATATAGTTTACATTTAATATATGTAACCGTCCATAATAAGTCATATAATCAATCAAATATTCAAATTTCATAATATAAATATAAAGCAAAAATAATTTTTCATACCTTGTTAATTTTTTATGTCAAATTCCATAATAGAAAATATTTCATTTATAAATTAATTTTTATGTTTAGTTAAAAAGATAAAATAAAATAAAATTTGGATTAAAAGAACACGTGTTGAAAAACGTTGACAGCTTATCGAAAAATGTTGACCACGCGTAGGATGCATGTCAAAGAGTTGATTATGTGTCGAAAAAAATTGACCGTGTATCGATACCGACACGTGTCTGACACATATTTTTCTCAAAAATATATGTGTCCGTACTTCTTAGTCAGCCATGCCACTCTCTCTGTCTCACAGGAGAGAGATGATAGACGACACTGTTTTTTAACGGAATTAATGAGTAGTATCCGAAAATTAATTAATTAGCAAAGGGTAGGATTAAGCAAAATCATCGAACCAACCTAGTTTTGAGAACAAAATTGATTTTATAATCCATCTTAAAAATTAAATCAAACCAAAAAAACTGCTTTGAAGAACCAGTTAAAAACTGGTTTGAAATTGATTTGGAACCAGTTATAAATTGTAAATTGATTTTGAAACATAGATCGATTCCTAACCTACTCTAAACCGGTTTGAAAAATATATAACTAATTCAGACATAATAAAACAATTTGGTTAAGAGAAAAAAAAAGGATTCGAATCCAACCATGGCCACAAAGGGTGTGCATGACAACCATTTTATTTCATAGCATTGTTTCTGAAAAGAAACAATTATTTTCTATTTCTGTGCCTTGGAACAGTTTTTGAGAAAAAAAATGTGTTTGATAACATGTTCTATTTTTATTCCGAGAATGAGAATTGTGTTTGATGACATAACAAATAATATAATAAAAAAAATTTCTATTAAATTTTAAAAAAAAATTGGATCATCACTTTCCTTTTCATATGGTGTGGTTGTGGAAAAAAATTTATACATTTTATATAAATTTTTGGCCCATCTTATATTTTCGTGGTCCCACTCACAGTCAACATTTTATTTTTACTATTCTACCCCTGCTTTTTCTTTTGTTTTCTGTTTTTGTCCTTTGCATGTGAGAGGGAGCATTTGTCAATTATATAGGACCGGTCCATAGAATAACTCCTCGTGGTTGTGGTGGTGGTGGCGGCGACGATACGGTAGTGGTGGTGGCAGTGACAGCAATGGCTGCGGCGATGGCGGTGATATTGGTGGGGATGGTGATTGTGGAGGTGACGACAGTGGCTACGACAATGGTGGTGGGGATGGTGGTTGGTGGCGGCGATAATGGTAGCGGTGGCATGGTGGTGGTGGTTGTGATGGCATCATGGTGGTGGTGGTGGCAGTGACTGCGGCGGTGGTAGGTGACAGTGGTGGTGGTGGTGTGGCGGCGATGGTAGTGGTGGGGGTGGTATAATGGTGGTGACGGTAGTCAGTGGCGGACACAGAAAATTTTCTTTACGTCTGCACACTCAGGGCGGGGGTTCGGGGGTGCCGCCCCCTATTTTTTTTTTAAAGATCATAATCATGATCCAATTTTTGCTTCCACTTCAAAAGTAAAGCTTTGGTGAATCAACCAAAGTTTCAAGGAAATAATCGATAATGATAATTAAAAAATAAATAAACACCACAAAAAGATATTTATAAAATACAGTATAATTGTAGGGGTTAATCGATCAAAAACTCACCTTTGTCGATGTCTATTTGATCCAAAGTTGACCATGTTTGTTTCATAAAAAAACATGAAAAATCCTGTGCGATTCTCCTCCAGTCCACTCTTTACCTTTTTCCTTTTAATCTTTTTTTTTTTTTTTTTTTTTTTTTTTTTTTTTTACTTGACTTGAATCACACACCCTATGTAAAAAAAAAATTCCTCCTCAACTTTATGTCTGCAAGTGCAGACAATAAAACTAACCTAGGTCCGCCAGTGACGGTAGTGGCGGCGACGATGGTGACGATAGTGGCTGCAACAATGGTAATGATGGTTGATGACAATGGTGCTGATGGCAGCGGTGGCGTCATGGTGGTGGTAGTGGCGTGGTGATGGTGATGGTGGCGGTGGCGGTGACGGTAGTGGTTGATGGTGGCGGTGGTGGTGGCGGTGGTGGTGATGGGTGGAAGTGGTGGTGATGGTGGCGGTGGCATTGGGGTGGTGAGGGGTGGTGACGACGACACTAGTGGTACGACGACGGCGACGGCGATGGTGGCGGTGGTCGTGTCGGGATGATGGTGGTGGTGGTGATGATGGTAGAGATGGAGAGTGATTGAGAGAGATAAGTGTTTCTTATTTTGTGCCCAAGAACAAAAAAACATAAATTTTATGATTCTTTTTTTCTGTTCCCCAACGATTTTACCAAACGAGTTTTCTATCCATTTATGTTCCTGAAAACAGAAATTAAAAAAAAAAAAAATTCCGAGAAGATTGTCATGCACACCCAAAGAGGTGATGTATTTTGACAGACTAATAATCTCAATTTCAAGATTTTTAAAGATCCTCCTCCTCAGTTGATGGAACTTATAGTTGCTGATGCTAGAAATATGTCTAGCTTGTTAGTTTCTGATTTGTAATTTCTTTCTGTTTATGGGGCTTAGCCTCTCTTTATTTACAAAAAAAAAAAAAAAAAGAGGTGATGTATTTTAAAATTTGCGTGTCGGACACGTGTCCGACACGGACACGCGTCCGACACGGACACGCGGTCAACATTTGGGGACACACGATCAACTCTCCGACACGTTTTTTCGACACGCAGTCAACTTTTTCCGACACGCGGTCAACGCTCGAACACGTTTTCAGACACGCTCGGACACTTTTTTTTTTAATCTTAATTTTATTTTGTTAACTAAATATAAAAGAAATAATTTATAAATTAATTTTTTTTTCTATTATGAAATTTGACATGAAAAATTAACAAAGTACAAAAAATTATTTATATTTATATTTATGTTATGAAATTTAAATATTTGATTGGTTATATGACTTATTATGGACTCTTATATGTATTAAATATAAATTATATTATATATATTAAAATTTTTATTTAATATCAAAACCTGTCTCAACGTGTCAAAATATGACATTTTTTAGAATTAACGTGTCAGCGTGTCGTGTCGTATCCCGTGTCCATGCATGAGAGAGTGCCCTTGCAATTTTTTTCTCTCACCTCTTCTCTCTCTCCTGAACTATTGTCCCTATAGGAAGAGGGGTAACTTCTCCTCCAACAGGAGAAGTTATTATCTCTAAAATAATTTCATATGCATAACAAGAAGACTTTTTTAAAATCCTATTTTGCAATAAGAATACAACTTATTCAGTCCCATCCCCTTTTCTTGATATCAACAGAAGAAAAGAGTAAAATACAATCCAGAAAGGCTGATTGAAAAAAAAAAAAAAAAAAACTTTTCATTCAAAGTGTGGTTTGGGATGAGGTTTGCTTAATAGGGTATGGTGTTTAATTTCTATTGCGTGTATTGACAGTGGTATACTTTGGTCTGCCCGTGATTGATCCTTAACTTAAAAAGTGCAATTGAGTAGCTCAGTTTCTTATCCCCACCTTGGCTCCTAATAACCTTATCCCAACAGCTAGGCAATCTATAGCACCTAAGCAGATAACCCAGCTTTTGAACATTGACATTGCCATCTCCTCAACACACAAGTATTGAAAAAGATCACAGCACAGCCACAATGCCTTTAGAATGCAGCTTTCACCATGCCATCATAACAAAGACAGCCTATCTTCTTTCACAAATACATCCTGGCAGAGGATTTGAATAAAAACTTTCCTCCAGCTTTGGAAATTCTCCAGGCTCCCTAGGATATGGAGCACCAATTCGGTCTCTGTGAAGCTGTTTTACCTTGGAGCTGAACTTCTTCCAAGAAATCTTACCTTCATCCAACTGATCAACAAGTTTAACAAAATTCATCCTGCGTCAACCATTGAGATCAGCTATACTGAGAATGAACGAGAAACAGTTTCACATGCATATCACCAAAACAATAATGCTTTAAGTAATACAAAAGAAATAGGTTAAGGATATATTACTTGTCTGGACTGATGGTCTTCTTGAAGTTTTCAAAGCGCCTATGACCTTGTACTGCCTTTGCCATATTTCCATCATAAGTGTAAAGAAACACATCACTCTTAAGGGCAACAACATAGTCTATACCAGCCAACATGTTCTGATGATTCTTGAAAGGATTCAGTTCTTCTTCAGAAGACAGAGACGAATGAGAGAAAATATTGGGGAAATCATCCTCAAGATATTTCATACTTCCTCTTCCATATGCTTCTCCAGCTACCAGATAAATCCTGGTGTGTGATGGAAAATCCAGTGCTTTAAGTAATAGGGAGGTTTCCCTTGGAGTTAACGGACAACCTCCAAGCAATCTCCTCTCAGTCCCATTAATCTCTTTCTCCTTCCAGTGACCAACTTCAAATCGCATCTGTTTTAGTTCTTCATCCTCTTCTGCAGTCAAATTGTGACTGCAGCCTGTAAATGCAAGCATATCCTTCTCATATCTATAGCAAAGATGAGATAGAGTAAGGTGATTAGAAGCGAAATGTTTATTTAAAGTTGTACACTTATTGACAGGAACACAATTTTTTTTTTTTTTTTATGGGTTGAGAACTTGAGATCATTAACTGAGTCCGAAACTAGTGCTAAGTTGAGATTCTTGTTCCATAATCCATGGGTCCTTCACCAAGAAACATGTCATTTTACTTTGATCTTATTATAAATCTATGTAGATTCAAGTGAGATCACTTTTCAAGGAAATAAAAGATCATTCAATGTGCTCTTATCAGTATATGATGACATCCAACTTCCCCAATATCTCCCCCCAACCCTTTCTTTTCCAGCTCAGATTAAATCAGACACATCCACATGAACATAAAAGAACAAAAAGCAAGAGAGAGAGAAAGGAAGAAAGAAGATCCAGCCATATTTGTATTAAAATATTATAATCGCAACTTGCCTCAAATGAAGGGCAAGATAAGGATTTCCATTCTGTTGCATTCTAGATACCAATGTGTTTCCAAATTCTTCAACTAGAGTTGAATATTTCAATGCTCTGTAATTTACACGGCATCTCAGTTTCTGTATGTAATTTTGAATACCATTGTTAGCAAGCCGGGAATCAGTATGAGTGAAATAGATCACTTTGTGCTGCTTTAGGAGGGGAACAACCTCAGTCTTGTAATAAGAAACCTGTAAATAAGCACCAAGTATATTCATTGACGGTTATTAAAAACATTGTGAAAAAGGAATGCAACGACGTGATGTGCATAAAATTCAGGGATTATGACACTAAGGCTTTGTTTGGATATCTAATGACAGGTGGAACGGAATGAAACTGGATAAGATGGAAGTTTTCATCTATTTCTACTTTTCTAGGGAATGAACAAAATGATAAGGAAATTAGTAAACAATAAGTTAGTTCCATCTAAATTGAAGGGTTTTTTTTTTTTTTTTTTTTGTGGGGTTTAGAAAAATAAAACATATTGAATGGAATAGATCCCATGAGGTTCCATTTCTTCCACCCCATTTTAAATTGCCAAACAATGGTAAATAATGTCATTCCATTCCATTCCTTTTCATCAATCTAAACATAGCCGACACGACTCAGAATGAACATGATGACACATATAAAACCCTCATTTGATAGTGACAATCTCATTTTCTTAAAAAATTTAATTGGCTACCTAAAAGACTAGATGGATGGATGACTGACTTCAGCAAGAATGTGATAAATCAAACATATCTTTTCATATTTGAAAAAGAAGTAATTTGAGTAGAAAATTTATGTTGACCTTAGACCATGATATCGGAGTTTTTGAGAAAGGCTCAATTCCGGCATAGGCAGGTGGTAATGTCTCAACTATGTGGATATCATCCTTCAGAGTATTAATAAAATGCTTCCAGTCAAACAAATCCTTGAAATCACTGCAAATATATCCAAACAAATTAAGTCCTAGAACACAAAAAGTATTCAATGAGAAAATTATCAAGCTGGAAACCCATCATTTGATGACAGCGATAATTTAAAAAAGAAATGATAGGAAAAAAAAGATATAAATGAGAGAGAGATTAGGAAAACAACTTAGATCGTTCTGGCATCTGCATTTTTTACATTACAGGAAAAGTTGTGATGATTGCCTGGAAAAAGATTTTAATTGTAGGATTTCTATTGATGACATATCTCTAAAAAATGATGCAAAAGTACCAACATAATCTACGACATTTCTTGCACATATTTAATCATCTCTAGTTCTGTGCTATGCCATGATTTGAACAAGTCTAACACAACGAAACTTATATCAAACCATACATATAGTCAGCATTGATTGAAACTGAATAAAGTTTCAGGCTTGCAAGAAACAAGGGCATTATATATTCGCCAAGAGATCCAATTATCTAATTCCATAGTAGGAGGTTAAAAAAATAAACCAACCTCTCATCAGCCCAATAGGAGCTGTGATCGAGAGAAGGAAGGACGAGTGTTGCCTTCATAATCTTAGCAACAGCAACCATATCACATATCTGCAATCAAAATATATAGAGACATTAGATTATGTTTGCTGCCTAACTTTCTAGTATATACCATCAGAAATCAACACAGCCAGACCCCAAATCTCATCTGATTCAGGCCGCCATTAGCATTTATAAGAATGTAGCCATTGGTCTTTGCATCTAGCTCTGCCAAAAAAAAAATAGCAAGTGAGAGGAGAGAAATCTTGGAATAACACACTGCAAAATAGCAGAAAGTAGTATACTTGATAATAAAATTTCATACTTTTACGATTTATTGGCAGATCTATGCATTGGGTGAAATTGTCACTGTTGGGTTTAGACCAGATCCCTGATCCCTGAATACAAAGGATACTTTTATAAGTGAAAAGGAAAAGACATCTCTGAATAGGCCTATAAATAACTGTTTTCTTTTCAATCCATGTACTTCCTTGTTCTATTTGAGAGCCAAACAAAATTAAGTCCACAAAGTTAGATATAGATTGGAAACTTACTTCAGCCCTGGCAGTTTGGCTGCCAACTAATCCTGTTGCTACCATCTTTAGAGTTCGTTCGGCATCACCTGCTTCCTCCCTATCTGCATAACCAAGGGAGCTTTGGTCCATTAGATTTAGACTAGCAATGGAGTCAGATAGTTCCTGACAAAAAACGAAAATAATTTACTTAGTAAGATAAGATATGCAAACACCACCACCCTCCCTCCGCACCCCAAATAAAGGAACAAAATGCAAGGAAATACTCAAATAGCCATCAAATCAGATCATGATCTATCTACTTCTTAATCCACCCCAGCTCCCTAACATGGGGTATTTTGACTATTTTCACAATTTGGTGCAACATGACTGTCTTTAGTAAACAGCAGTATATAAAAATGAAAAACAAAAACTCCCAATTGTGAGTTCTCCACCCCACTAAAGTTGGTATTGAACATATGGGATACATATGACACAATACTCTGAAACAGTTTTGAAAGTGAATTATTTCCTGTGTTTTCCAAACAATCCACTTGCTCACATAAAAGCAGATAATTCCACACACAACAAAAATAAATTACCAATACTCACAAAAAGATGCATATAGAAGGCACGGTTGCCCACTTTTAGGACATAGCATTAGTACTATCATGCTCACTCCCAAATTAAAAGCCGAAAAAGAAATTTTACATATCGCAAGATGCAAAATCGACCTATGCATTAAGAAATTATTTATTTTGCAAAAAGAAAGTTTTCTTATCCAGAATTCCCAAAAACTAAACAACAAAAATAGTAACCAGATGTCTTGATCAGATTTTACTAATTAAGGAACTAGTGCAAACTTTCTGCGTTGAAAAAATAGATCCATAAGCAGCATAATGCAGCGGATAAAGCTTCAACTTTGAACAAACTGATACACACTGAACTTAGATCATCCCAAAATTAAATCTTTACATGAGTATTCCTAAAACTTGTTCAAGCATAAAAAACAAGAATCAATATCATCATAATAGTGACACGTGGCAGTGTATGATATGAAGGTAACCTGATTGGATTGAGCTGTTTCAATGGCAGATCCGAGCCAGCCAGTGGCACATATCTTAAGGACACCAAGGAACAAGCACACTCCACAAAACACTAAGAACATCCAATGCCCAAGCTTTTTCTTCTCCCTCAACCCCAAATCCACAATGACTGATTCAATGGGTTTCTTGAGTAAGCCCCTAACAACCCCACCATGAACTCTCTGGCTCACGTGATGATGGCCATGCTTCTTTTCCAGAACAGGCTCCAACCCTTCTTCCGATCTGGGGGAGTTGATTTGTAGCTCAATCTCATGGTGGGAACCGCCGCCAGTGGCGCTGTTGCCGGCGGCGGCGCCGCTGCGCTTGAAGGAGTGAGCACGGCGAGTCATTGGACCCGAGAAACGCGGGCTGTTGACTCGCTGGGACACACCATCAGAGTTGTTGCGATGGTGATTCGATTCAGAGAATATCGCCATTAAAGTTAGAGATCGATGCAGAACCCAAGCTTCTAGACTTGTACACCTCTTATTCTACTTCATTCTCTCTTTCTCTCTCACCTCTATATTCTTAATTGCGTGTCCGAAATTCAAGAAACATGCCATGCCTTCGCAGGTTGTTCCCAGTTCTTTCTTTCTGCTTTCTTTGAAAAGAGAAGAGACAGAAAATAAAAATCTCAAATTTAATTTGATGATAATGATGATTGATGTTCGTGATTATTGATATGGCTGCCGGTAATAATTCAGGAAAGATAGTTGTGGCAATAATTGTGCAATTTTCCTTTTTTGGTCAACCGTTATTCTTATACAATTAAGTAAATCATAATTTGATTTTCTATAATTTTTATAACTAAATACGTCAACGTTAACATGTCTCGCACTATAATTTGATTAAAATTATCAATAAATTAATATGTAAAAATTCATGAGAATAACAAAACTTAAGTAGAAAAGAAAAACATTTTAAGCCTAACAACTTTCTATTTTCGAATTCATACAGTTGTATTATGCACAAGGCACACGCATCTTCAGTTGTTGTTCATATGTCTCGCTACAACTTTTATTAGCTGGATAATGCTTTCACACATATATGTATTGCATTTTTGAAAAGACAATTGAATAATCATAGCTGCCCCACAAAAATCAATAAACCCTAAACCGCGTGAAATCATGCATGTATTTTGACCACAAATATTCATTTAACTCATGTATCTTTCAAAGATCACACTGATTCAGATCAAAAAAGAAATTCCCTAGTTTACCGCCTATATATATATATATATATATATATATATATATATATATATATATATATATATGGTTTAATGAATATATAGTGACTCTACTTAAAGATTATTGCAGTCATATAAAACATATTGTAAAAATATTAAATATGAAAAATCATAATCGTACAAAGATAAAAATAAATATAAAATATTAAATATGTAGAATCATAGTCATATAAAAATAAAAATTAATATAATATTTTAATTTTCTACCATTAATTTTGAATGCAAATTTTTTTTATCTCATTCAAAATGATGTGTTTTTATTACACACCTTTTGTAATCTTCAACTTAAACGCAGCAGACATCGCATGCTTCCATATTCAGCGGTCATAAAATATTCGCACTGAATCCACCTTCAACACATGTATATATATTTACCAAGCCTATTTCCAAAAAAAAATATTTACCAAGCCTATTTAATAAAAATATAGGGGTCAAAGTATTCCCGAACATTTAGTTAGTAGTTAACAAAACTTTTTTTTTTTTTTTTGTAATAAGTTAACAAAACTTTTCGTATGGGACAAAAAAGAAGTGTCTTTTACTAAAAAAAAGAAAAATAAGAAAGTGTCTTACGAATGTCTTTTCCGGCCAAGCACTTACCTGTGTTTTATTTATTTACTTAACGTAGTATCTGTTCTGTAAGAAAATTGCAATTGGTTTACAACATGCAAAAAAATTGGTTCACTTGTCCTGTTCTTGATCCGACCTTAACCTGACTCATAAATACCCATATTTTTTTGAACTGGTTTAAATACTGACCCACTTTTATTTGAGTCAGTTTTAGACCTGACTCGTTTTAATATTGACCCACTGACCCAAAACTTGACTCATACCCATTATGTGAAAAAAAAAATCACAATTACATTAAAAAAAAAGTTTTAACGTAAAACAATTACGTCAAAATTTTTTATGGAAAATATTTTCGTAAAAATTTTCGCAAAAATTTTTGACGAAAAATATTTTCTTCAAAACTTGTGACTAAAAACATATCGGTAAAAAAATTTGACGGAATATTTTTTTTGTCAAATTTTTTTACGGAATCTAAATTTCGTCAAAATATTTCACAAAAATATATATTCATAAAAACTTTCGACGAAACACATTTTCATCGAAATTCTTTGATGAACAAAAATTTCAACAAAATTCTTTACAGATTTCAAATTTTGGCGAAAGTTTTCGACGGAAACATTTTCGTCTATCAAAAAATTTTGACAGCAAAAAATATCGACGACAAAAAATTTTATCAAAATTCTTTACAGATTTCAAATTTCGGCGAAAGTTTTCGACGGAAATATTTTCGTCATCAAAAAATTTTGACGGCAAAAAATTTCATCAAAATTCTTTATAGATTTCAAATTTTGGCGAAAGTTTTCGACGGAAACATTTTCATCATCCAAAAATTTTGACGGCAAAAAAATTCATCAAAATTCTTTACAGATTTCAAATTTCGGCGAAAGTTTTCAACGAAAAAATTTTTGCTAAATTTTTTGACAAAAAAAAATTTTCGTCGAAATTTTTAGCGAAACACATTTCCATCGAAAATTTTCAACTAAATATTTTCGTCAAGTTTTTGATAAAAAATTTCCATCAAAATTTTCAACGAAACACATTTCTATTAAAAAACTCCGTAAATTTTTTTGATAAAAAAAACATTTTGACGAAAAAAATATTCTGTCAAAATTCTTTAGAGAATCTAAATTTCGTCGAAAGTTTCAAATGAAACATTTTCCTCAAAATAATTTCCGTCAAAATTTTTGTCAGAACACATTCCCCTCGAAATTTTGAACGAAAAACATTCCGTCAAATTTTTTGACAAAATTCTTTTTTCGTTTAAAACATTTTATGGAAGAAATCATTTTCGTCAAAACTGTTGACGGAAACTAAATTTCAATAGAAAAAATTTTTTGTAAAAATTTCGACGAAAAAATAATTTTGTGAGGAAATTTTCGTCTTCTGCAACGTAAAAATTTCAACAAAATTTTGTGAGAAAATCAAGTCAAAAACGGGTCGGTCAGATTTGACCCAGTTCAGAAACCAAGTCAGACCCACTTCAGAAACCAAGTCAGGTCAGATCCAAACTGGTTCTGAACTAGTTCAACAAAATCCAATCCAAGTCAGACCTGACTTGGATCAAATGAAAGCGAGTCGTGTCAAAATACCTGACCTATAAAAACCAAATTGGGTCGAGTCGGACAAAATCTGACCCGACCTGACCCATGCACAGCCCTAGTTTACACTTTATCATTGCATTATACTATAAACTTAGAAAAGAATCACGAAATTTATCGGTCATGTTGCATGTGATTGTGATTGTCAATATTCTATCTATTATTCACCAGTTTTGTGTGAAGATCTCGAAATATTATCATATCCAAATATCCGGTCCAATCAAATTATTAGCTCTGATACTAGAAAGTTAATAATAATAACAGAAGAATCAAAATCTTTTACAAATGATATTTTTATTAATGAGTCAAATGACAAATCATAATAATTACGTTAACATCACATCTCAATCAAAATCTAAGGCTCTGGGTTATATTGGTCTTTTTTGTACTTGTATAATACTCACTTGAAGCATTTATAATTGATGTAAAACTTTATCACTACTTACATTTGATCATTTCTAACATCTATATACGATATTTATAGAATTTTAATGCATCTAAACAATCAAATTCTGATCTGTATAAAACATGACAATGCGGCTAGCAAATCAGATGCTATATCCTGTTAGAAGCAACACCCACGTGACAGGAGAAATCAACAAGCTAAATTACAAGCATCCTTTTATTACTCGTTATATATCTAGACTATTTGTAAATAATGAATTCAAAACATGGGAGTGGCGAGGATAGTCGCCCAAACTCTGATAGAACCACTTCAATAAGGTGGTGAGGCATTTTAATGATTTATATTATTCTTTAATACTATTAAAAAAAACTTTTCCTTTATGTTGTGTTAAAAATTAACTAGCAGTGATGAAAATTTAATCAAATTTTATTTGAGTTTCTTTTTAGGAAAAGTTCGGATTGATTGGTGATTTTTCTTCTTTTGAAATAACATCTCTCCGTCATCTTCTAAAATCATATAATTTCTTTATAATGTTAACTGTTTCTATTTTTTCCTTTCCATATAATTATCATTATTTTCATTTTCATGTAATCATCAAGATTTAAATTTATTTATTTATTATAATATTTCTTTCCGTCTAAGATAGTAGTAAAGTCTTTTATATTTATAGTTGCATTACATGTATAATATAGTGTAGAAAGAAATATTAAATATTTAATTCATTTATTCATCATCTATCTTTTTAATATTTTATAAAATAATTTAGTTTTCATGTGGAATTTCTGTAACTATATTATTGAAGCTATATATCACCTATTAACGGAAATTCATGAATTTAAACCTTTATCATATGGTTATAATAAGTATAAATTTGATCAGGCGACTCAATTTCTATTATTTATTTATTTATTTAATTACTACTGACTTCAACCAATAATTTCGTGTTCGTGTTTCTAGGATTGCAGCTGTATTAAAACCAATATTATTAAACTCAGACCAATAATTGATTTGGTCAAGGTATTTAGTCAATTAATCATTTGATTTAGTCAGTGGGTAACTGATCGAATCACTTAAATTAAATTTATATAAAATATATAATAAATATGTAAATAAAAGTAATATGATTTGTCTTAATGGTTAGCATATCGTTGTATTTTCCTATATGACCGGTTAATTGACTGAACTAGACCGACCTGTGGTCCAGTTCCCAGGTCTACTGATCCGACTGACAGGGTTGGGTCAGTTTTAATAATACTAATTAGAACTTTGTATGGAAAGCTTTGCCGCACATATTGTCTTACATAACTCGAATTAGACTAATTAAGTAATCGACGATCTATGGATAAATTAAAAAAAATCGTATAAATTAAAATTCTAGATGTGATATATAATATCATAAAATTATGTGACAAAATTATAAATACTTAAAATATAGGAAGAAGATAACTCATATTTGTTTTTACCGCTCTTTTCTTTCTGCATTTGACTCTCTTATAATAGATATATTGATAGTTAGGAAGCAGATAAATTTAAATCTCTATCAATTATTTTGCACAATTTGAAACCACATTATAGCATTAAATATAAAAAATATTTTCATATAATCGCATACAATTATGAAAACAAAATCAAAGTATATCCTAAATAAATATCATTAGCCAAATCATATTCTTAATTGATTCATCAATCAATTAGTAATTTCATTTTTTCGACATATACATTATTTGATTTTACCATAAGATTCTAATGTTCTTCCATAGATGTTTATCTTTTCAGTCAGGATTTATATGTTT